TGACCTTTGGAGATATCATTAAGGGAAAAAAAAGCTTATTTGTGATCTAGCTGCACAGGTAGAAGAATTTATGTTAGAATTGAAACTTTTACAATAATAATGATTTGACAGGTTTTTCTAACATGAAGGAATATGTGAAAGTTTTTAATTATAATTGACAGCATTATGTAAAATTGACTAGAAAGTGCAAAAAAAGAAGCTTTGTTGATATTGATGAATTGAGTTGTTTTTTGACTTGTGTAATATCCCTTTGAATTCAATGTTAATAATACTGAGTTGACACAAGAATTGGTGATTTAACTTAGATTAGGTGATTTAAAATTAGCATGCTTTTGTATAAAAGTCAAATCAATTATTTGTCAGTGTGGATGCAAATATTCAGGAAAAATGATTCTTTAGTACTTGATTCAGTTACTGGAACACTTTCAAGTTTGCTTGGAACAACTTGGGTATGTAAATCTCTACTTTTTTAACTGTAAATTTTATGAAATCTTAATACAGATTGGGAACTTCCTGTGAATGCTAAACATCCAAATTGAGATGTGTAAGTGTAACATACACACCAGATTTTGAAGACTTAGTATGAAAAGAAATGTAAAATATCTCATTAATAATTTTTTACATTGATTATATGTTGAAATGATAACTCTTTGGATATATGTTGTGTTACATAAAGTTTATTACTATTATATATTAATTTCACCCATTTCGTATTACTTCTTTTAATGTGGCTACTAGAAAAGTTTAAATTACATTTGTGGTTTGCATTATATTTCTATTGGACAGTGCTGCTCTAGTACCTTAATGACACATTAACAAGCAAACAAAAAAGGTCCATATTTTTGGCATAGATATTAGAAAAAATGCAGAACAATTTATTTCTGTCATTAACTGCCAATGGGAAATATTGTACACTTTCAAAATGTGAGTAATGCAGCACAGTAAATAAACATATGCAATGGAATTAATAGCTATGCTGACACATTTCAAGGTTGTGGAAAGACAAGTGAGAAGATGTGATTCGTGTGAAAATTCAGATGCAGCTGGCATTAAAGTGTGTTGTAAACTAAAGAGAATTTTATATACAATAAGTGACAGTAATTCAGACTGAAATGGTTGTCTTTTTAAATTCATGTGCAAGACGTGGAACACCATCATATGACAGTTTTGCAAAAAGAGAAGAGAAACTTCTTTCTAAATACATGCACTGGTTACAGTGATTATTCACTTCTAATTATTCCCATTTGGTAAAATATAAATTTTGTAAAACTAGTTTGAGGCCCATCTGTTTAGTTAGAAATTTGCTCAATGGTTTGAGAGAAGCAGTGAGTTTGAACCCTCAATCAGCTATCAAGCAGTAAATAATTGATACTTATTCTAAAGCAAAAGAATGAAACGAAAGTAAAATTTGGAAGTAAAACAGGGAAAACAAAAGCCAAACAAAGCCAAACAAAGCCAAACAAAAGCATCATTTTCAGCATTTTTTTCCAGTTGCATCAAAATTAATTATTGTTTTCCTGGAAGTAGAAATCTTAGCTTTTAGACACCTTGAAGTTTTTGAAGCAAATTACTTCTCAAAAATCTTTTCATTAGAACTATAATATATTTTTGTGTGTGTGTGAAACATACTCCAGAATAATTTGATTTTTTTTTCTGCAAGTGAACCCTTGTGATCCTGGTGCAGCCTCTAGCAGTATAAAGACAGCTGCAAAATGTAAATTTAAGTCGTCTTTAAATCAGGGCCAGAGGTGTGACCCGTGGCCCCTGTCCAGGGGGATGAAGGGGAAGCAGCCCCTGGGAGGAAGGGGAGCCTGTCAGAAGCAGCAGTCACGCAAACCCAGCTCCACCAGGACTGGTGGGCTGATGTCGAGCTAAACACTAGAAAGCACCTGGACAAGCTCTAGAGCAGAAGAGGAGGGGCTCGTCTCATTTACATTCTAGTGAATCCAGAGAAAGCATCATCAATAACTTTTCTGTTTCTAGAAGATGTATGACTTTCTCAGTGTTTAGCATTTGTGGTTTAGCTTGGTTTGTGTACATCTGCTTTCTCATTTGTATTGGAATAACACCCCCTCCCCAAACAAAGCTGGAGTTTGGGGTGGGAAGCTGTACTTCTCTTAGAAATGCCACAGGATAGGAGAAGCTGGGAGCCTGTGCTCTGTCCCCTTGTCAACGTGGGGACAGGGGAACACAGAAGTTAGATGCTGGCAGAGAAAGAAGTGAAAGGATGAATCCCACATGTAATCCCGCATACAGTGTGGCAGAAGGAGGGAAGGAGAAGTCGGCCCAACACTAAGAAATGACCCTGGGAAAAAGAGCCTGAGGTGGAATATCTCAGAGAAGTGGGAGTCTGCTCAGGCAGTGACCTGGAAAGGTGACCTCAGCCTGAGGAGGGAATAGAGTGGGACTAAGAATTGGGCCAGCTGACACAGAGGAATCAGTAGAAAGAGGGTGAATGTTTGCTGGTGGGAGATAAGACCTAGAATGGGAGAGAAAACCACAGAATGTCTCAAGTAACTGGGAGAGCCATGAATAAGAAATACATATTTAGTCGAGAAATTGGTAATGATCAATTTTGATGAATGCTGTATAACCTTCTTAGCGGTTCCAAGAGAGAGACAAAAAAAGATTTTTGAGTTAAGAAAAAAATTAATCCTTGGAAAAATCATCCATCACATCTACCAAGGTGGAGTTACCTCCTATTTGGTAAACGATTATGATAAGGTTAATGGTGATAAATCACAGGGAGTGACCCTCATGCCTCTCAGGGAGGTGATTAGATTGTCAAACCCTTAATCATTTCCTGTGTCTCCAGCCCAGGATTCCTGAGAGGCAAAGAGGCACAGTGTCAGAGAGAATGAACACTGGGGACAGAGGGTGTGGTGTGGCTAAAGGGCCATGGTTTTTAGGAAGAGAGGTCTGTGAGAGACCACTGTTCTACTGCACTGGTAATATTTATTATTACGTCGCTGCAGAACCCGAGTGCACCTAGTGGGGAAAAGTACCCATGGGATTACTGAACTTACTCATCAAGTAAGAATTACTTATTAAGAGGAAATATGAGCTGAATTTACATATGTAATAAAAAATTAGCTTTCTAATCCACATGCCTGTTGAGTCATCATTTGTACAACTCATGGGCTGTAACAGTTGAAAAACAAATAAATCTTTACCTGGCACTGTCTTTGGTACATTTTCAGTTCTTGTAAGAGCTTCTGATTTTCATCTTGTAACTTATTCCTGCTTAACGCTATTTCACTCACAGCTGATTTTAATTTTTCAATAATGAACTCATCTCTTTCATTGGTTTCACAACTGGTATCTGGTTCGCATATCCAAGGAATTTCAGAGCTGCTGTCTTCTTCTATGCCCTGTTTTTTACTATTTGGTGGAGTTTGGTAACTTTGTGCCTGTTTCTGAGAAATATGAAAATTGTGTCAGTTAAGTGAAGAATATCGTATTTAAGCTTACATAAAGTTCAAGAATGATAGAAAAGAATTAGTAAAAACATCTTTAAATATATTATTAGATAATGAAGCTTTGTCCTTCATAATTCAGTCTTGTGTTTATTCTAAAACCTCAATTTCAGGTGGCATAAAGAGAAAATATATCTGTATAACCTCAGAGCAAAGATGCAGAGTAGAGTAGATGGCTTTGGCTAGGGAATTCTTATTCAGCAAAAGAGAAAATATAGAAGATATGAAAAAAAGCATGGATTCAATTACATAATAGCTGAAAATGTCTCTGTGACAAAAAATAAAACAAAAAATCTGGATTGTACAGAAAAGTTGTCAACATGTATAACAAGGGTAATTTCTGATGTACAAAAACTTCTACACATCAATAAGAAAAAGACAAACAACACAGAAGAAAAGTGGGCAAAGTTTATGCACAGGCAATTCACAGAAGAGGAAATGAAAAAGGCTGAGAAACACAAGAAGAGATGCTCAACCTTACAAGTAGTCAGAGAAACGTAAAGCAAATGAAGTCAAGGTTACTATTAGTCCATCAAGTTAGTAAAAATCAAAAGACAGAGAGTCCATGCTGGTGAGAGTAGGGGTAGTCTTGTTGCCTGTTCGTGAATTATAAATTACTATCATTTTTAAGAAAGGAATCTGCTAATATTTATTAAAAATTTGAATGAACATACCCTTTGGCTCAGTGATCATTTCTAGGATTTTTATTTAACAAAAGGAAAGCATTCGTATTTAAAGATGTACATACAAGGGTATTTGTTACACTACTGTAATAGCAGAAAACTGGAAACAACCTGAGTGTTAGTTAATAAGGAAATGATTGAAAGAATTATGGTACATCTGCGATATACTATGGTATATATGATATATATACACAATATACTTTGAAATATTTTAATTAAGTAGTGACTCAAAAGGCTATTCATGGCCTATTAAGTAAAAAGGCAAAATTTAAAAAAGAAAAATATACAATTTCCACACAAGCATATATTTACATATTTGTACAAACAAAAGAAAATGTATGTGAAGATAAACACCTAATTGTTAACAGTGTTTATATTAAATGGATAAGAATGGAATAGAGGATGAGGCTATCAGTTTTACATCACATTATTTTGTATTGTTGAATTCAGGGAACATGTATAACATATAATTCAAGTAACTTAAAGAAAGAATGAAAAATAAGTATATATCAAACAAAAATGTTTCTTACCAGCTTTAATAAAAATTCAAAATTCCTTAGGTAAGCCTTTAAGGCTTATTACAATCTAATATCCAACTCGCCAGCCTTCCCTCCCGCCTACTGCCCCTTCACCTCCCACATGGACTTCTAGCCAGTTGGCCCACTTTCCATTCCCTGAATTTGCCTTTTGCTCTCTTGCCTCAGTGACTTTGCTCATGTTATTTCCACCACCTGGAATACATTCTCTCTTGTCTCAAAATATAGCCATTCTTCTTCTAGGCCCAGGCCTAGTCCCACCCCTGATGGAGGATGTTTCCTGACTATCTCAGTCCAAATTTTTCTCTTACTCCTTCGACCTCCAAAAGGATTTGTATCCTTTTCATTCACTTGTCATTAATTATCTGTAAACCTGTACATGTATTATCTGTGTCTAGGCTGTAAGGTTCTAGAGTGCCAGGACCAAGCAATCTTAAGACTTTCTAAATGACTTGCTCATAGGCATGCAAAAACATGTTATTTAATGACATAATAACAATGGAGACTTTTAAGAGCACCACCTTCTGAGACATACAGACTAAAGTCACCATTACAGATATTTCATGCACTTGTAACTCTACCCAGTGTTGGACCTACTCTGGTTATTTTCCCTTAGTTGGCATTTGTATCTGTAGAAGGATTACATGCTGAATGGTAAAGAGAGTAACAGTATTTAACCTCTAATTTATTCTGATTTAGAGGATAGTATTAGATAATGTACCTGAAATTGATTACACTTCTCAGATAATACTTTTTGTTGAGCATCTAAAGAAACCAGATGAGTCTGATATAGTATCTTCTGCTTGTCCCATTCTCTTGACTTTGCTCTAAATTCCTTTAAAAAGTGGAGAGAGAAATATAAATTGAAAAAATTATTCATTTTAAAGCACAATGAACAGGACTTCTTTCATTTGTACATCTTTCTTCTGAGAAAAAAAGTAAATCCATTCTTTCCCCATTAGGAAAACAAAAAAGTATCAAATCACTCATCTTGGATTTACTAATAGATATATCTTCTAATTTTTGCTAGGAAAGTATGGAATTGAATCCACTATTTTATTTTTATTTTTAATTTTTATTGGAGTATAGTTCCTTTGCTGCATCTTTTTAAAAATAAGGATTTTGTTTGTTAAAAATATAAAAAAAATTTTATAACAAATACTGATAACAAATAGCAGAGTTTCAAACAATTTTTTGCATCAACCAGTACTTGCTTTCTATTTCCTGAGCTGACACCAGAAGTTTTTTTCCCTTCTTTCATTCTTTACACTCAGTCACCAAACCTGCTCCCTTGTTTTTGAGGGGGTGGGGCTTGGACTGATTTAGTGACTTTGTCCCCTGTGGCTTTCAAAACTGTTATCCCAGGTGAAGCCAAGATTGACCCATTCTTGAGAACAGACAGAACAACCATCTCAGGCCTCCTTTAGGCAGTACCAACTGGGCTAAGCTGGGGCAGAAGTGGTGGAACTACTTGATACAGCATGCTCTCAGTTCTTCACCGTTTTGCTCAAGTAGTGTCTTCATGGAGCCTGGTTATCTGTTCACAAATTTATAAGAGGAAAGAATGTGGCTTTGGGAATCCCAAAGAAAACTTCACTGCTTCTCAATTTTGCCTAGGGCTGGCCATCATATCTCATCTTTCTGTCCAGGCTGTAAGCAACTTAAGGGTAAGGAGTATGTATTTCATTACTTTTGTGTTGCTCACAGTGCATGATAAAGTGCCAGGCACCACGTACAGGGGATGTACAAACAAAAGCATGGTATTAATATTTCCAAAAATGTAAACATTTCTCACTAAATTTTGCAAAGAAAACGATGTGGTTGGAAACAAACTCTACAGCTACTTAGTCCATAGCAATATATTACTGAATGTAGATACATGGCATGAATGCATTGATGTTTCCAATTATCAACTCAGTAGTATTAAGTGTAGTATTAGTAGTATTAGTGTCCAGCAGGTACCGTGGAGAGAGGAGAATTTGGAAATATTTCATGATTAAAAGAGACAAATTTTTGAAAGAAAAAATCAATTTATATATAAAATAAAGTAGGGAAATGTACATGTAAATAATTGTAAAGTATTAGTACAATAATAGTGCCACATAAAAGCCATGCAGATGATGCCATGATTATCTTAGCCATCCCCAATAGTACGTCAATTGGAAAAGAATTCATTTGGCTAGAGAGATTGGCGATGTTTTGAAGATGGTTGAAATGACTGGATTGGCTATCTGGAAAATAAATATACTAATTCAGAGAATGAAAGCTACAACTTGCTTAAAATGAGAATATGGCATTTCATATTTTCTCTAGAGAAATGATTTTAAAGAATATTTGGGGAAATCTTCATTTTATAAATCCAAAAGTCCCAAAATAATCAGTGAAAGAAGGCTAAAAATTGGGAGGCTTTTATAGTAATTAAAGGTGACCTGAAATTGAGTGTTGGTAAGAAAGATGGAGAAATATAGATAGACCCTGTTTTAAATATATAATAATACCCTGATAAATAGACCATATTTATTAAGATAAATGGAGACAGTTCATTTAAAGTTATTGATTTTGATTCTGACATTTGACAATTTAAAATTAGGTACATGAAAACAGGGTCTTCAGAAATAGTGACAAATTTACAAAACTAGGTACACTTCAAATCAGTACAAGGTGGATTAAAAAATTGCTGTTTAATTTAGAAAGGAGTATTTGGAGTCAGAAGTCAAAATGTGGGCAAGGTTGACTTGCACAGTTCATATCTTTCAATGATATTAATACTTAACACCCAACAATCTCAATCTTGACAATAAATATTTCCCAGCATGCTTTAGGAGAAGGCAGGAACATCAGCCTCACTTCCTTACAAATTCTACAACAGGTAGAAATGAGGCCAAGAATGAGCCCAAACAAGGCTAAAAATGTGTGTCACAAACATATAGGCTGGTCCTTATAACAGTCCTGGCTTCCTCCGTCTTACAGATGTATTGGTTTCAAGATCAGCAAACAAGCAGGCACAATATCTCCAGCAGTCATGGGGCCATGCAAAGACAGAGAAAAGCTTTAAGAGGATTTTGTAGAGACTGGAGGTGTCGGCCCAGGCTCCAGTTCCAGAGGAACTGTACACTTGCTTAAACCTCCAGAGTACGTTTTCCACAGCTAGAAACCTTTTCTGGGTCTTTAAGTTTGAGAGTGGATCAGAGGCATTAAAATCAAAGTTTCTAGCAGAAGCTATATTATTATATATAGTTTTTAATCCCTCTACTAAATCTTGAGAGGTAGAATGACCATTTCTTTAGTGATTACTGTATGTCAGGGACTCTACAAACCTCCACTTGCAAGACAGTTTTAACTTTTTAGGACGAAAATTTTCATACTTACATAAAAGTAGAGAGTAAAACAAACTCCCATATACCCTTCACCCAGCTTAACTACTGTCAGCTCAGTCCATCTATATTTCGTCTATCGCTCCACCCATTCTTGTTGGAGTATTTTAAGGCAACTTCCAGACTTCATGTATTTTTACCCCCATATGCTTGAGTGTGCATCTAAACACACATACACACACATATATTTTTTTCTTCCATAACCACAATGTCACTTATATTTTTAGCCCCCATTTATTGGTGAAAACTGTAATCTCTGTGAAGTTAACAGCTTGTCTAAAGGTCACAGGGCAAATAAATGAGTCAGTCAGGTCCTATTTTAAGTTGTAAACTGTCAGGTTCTTCCACTATAGCAAGCTGCTTCCCATTGCTCAATCGCTGTACTGGTGTATAAATGTTTGTCCCCAAGGAGAAACATGCTTAGATGTAGACTAAAACTGGAACAGGCCATCTCCTACACATTAATTTTTCAGATGCCTCTAAGCAAAAACAGGTACATGAAGCATTTCTGTAATAAAACAGATTAAACTGTATGTACACAGTGTGCTTAAAAATTTTTGTATAAGTACAAACATATCAAGTCATACTTTGGCTACTAATTTCCACTATAATTTCATGAGATACATTTTTTATAAATATTTAGCTCCCTAAATGTAAAATGTATACACACAAAGTACTTAATTTAAGGCTTTTTCTTTGTCCAAACAATTTATATGAATGTAATTCTCCCACTAATCCCCATGAGAAGTCAATCAAATGGAACATCAGTGACTTAACTGCATTTTCAGTGAAAGCTCGTGTATATTATGTCGCAATCTTTGGGCATCTACTGTGAGACCAGAATATTTCAGAAGCCAGTTGAGTTACACCATTGCAAGAGCCAGGGAGTCATACACAGTGCATTTTCCTAGAGGGTCAACCTTACTCAGTGGTAGTAATTTTGTATTTAAAAGAAGGTACATTTATTATTCAGTACACTATAAAATTTGCAGGAATTTAAAAACTAAAACCAAAGACTTCCAACAAAGTTCTTGCAATAGGCTGGTTTTAGGACTGTGATTCCAGATTTTTTTTTTTTTTTTTCTGCTCTTAAAAATATTTTGGAGGAAAAGTTTGAGAAGGACTTAATTGAACAGTCATGATAAAGATGAAGAAGTATGAAACAGGGCAAGGACAATTAGACAGGAGAAAGACAGATAAGAGGCATTAGACAAAGGAAAGGGGCAAATCTGGGCCGGAATATGAGAGTAAGAGAAAGGAACAGATCAAAGATTCCTAAGAGGTTTCTACCTGGGTGATTGGGAAGTACAGAACCATTACCTATTTACAAAGTAGAAGAAACTGAAATCATTGGCTGACCGTGGGAGAAGCTGGGGTTTAGGGCTTGAGAACAGTGGGAAAAAAAAATGACTGGGATAACATGATAGGGGTCAACTTGAGGTCAATTAAAAAACAATGATTGAGCAGCACTGGGAATTTAGCTAAGGTTAGAGAACAGGGATTCATACTAGAATCTATTTGCTGTTATGTGACCAGTAGCAGG